ATTATTTAGAATAAATAATTTTAACCAAGTTATATTATATATCACAAGGTTTCCGTACATATAAAGAACGCCGAAATTTGAGTTATAACGAAGAAGTTATGGACCGTCGAAGTTTTATGGTAAAATCGGCACGGCACCGGGAAGCGTAAAAAGTGAATTTATGATAGAAGACTTTTTAGCCTTATTTATCTAAACCAAAGTCATAGAGTATGTTAAAATGAGAAAATCCGTAAAAAGAACGCCAAAATCTGACTTCGTATGAGGAAGTTATGATTTTTCAAAGTTTCAGCTTAGTAGTGTACAGCCCGAAACTCGAATTTTAGTTCGAGCGGTTTTTGGCTTACGCGACCTAAATGAGAGTTAAAGATATCATTAATAGGAACTAAACAGTAAAAAGATGGACAAAAACGGAGTTCGTATGAAAGAGTTACGAATTCTTTGCGGTCATTTAACAGTTTAAACGTCTCCTACTGTTAAATTTATGATCGGTCGAGAATTAGCCGACGGAGCCAAAATAAAAGTTGTAGATATTATTATTACCTACGTATGGATATAAAGAACGTCGAAAACGGAGATAGTATGAGATAGATATAGACGAAGCTTAGTCGCTACTTTTCGAGCGCGGCGAATTCGATACAGTTTTGTAAATCCGAGATAGAATGAGAATTAGACAACGAGGTCTAAATGAGAGTTGAAGATCTCATTAATAGGAACTCAACGGTAAAAAGACAGACAAAAATGGAGCTCGTATGCGAAAGTTATGGACGAAGCTTAGTCCCTACTTTTCGAGCGCGGCGAATTCGATACAGATTTGTAAATCCGAGATAGAATGAGAATTAGCCAACGAGGTCTAAATGAAAGTTGAAGATCTCATTAATAGGAACTCAACGGTAAAAAGACAGACAAAAACGGAGCTCGTATGTAAAAGTTACGGACGAAGCTTAGAGACTACTTTACTATAAAACTCCTATAAATACAAGGGTGAACTCCTCATATTTTCTTCACACCATAAGCCTCTCTTTCTCTCTCTAACTTCTCTCTAGCCTCCCTAAACCCCTCACAAGTCTACGGAACCTCCCTAGCACGAGAAGAAAGCCCCGGAGCGCCCGACGGCTCCAAGAAGAAAAGCTTTCGGCTTGGAAACGCTGCTCCAGCGAAGCCCGGTTTTTAATACAAACTCGTTGTAAGTGAGCTACGCCTATATTATATTTAATATAGATTTTATTTAATTATAGTAACAATATTAGGACCTTAAAATAATTATTTGGGCTATTATTATGAGTTATATTGAGTGTTATTTAACGCTTATATAATAGTAATAATAGCTAGACTATTAGTTAGTCGTGGTTAACGTTAAAAACTAAACCCTAGTGGTATTGATACTAGGTTTTGTCGAGGAAAATTGTTTTGAGATAACGAAGTGCTGTCTGAGTTTGGAATCACCACCTAATCAGGTGAGTGCATGGTCTCTTTCATCTTACACATAGATATGGAGTATTTTAATATAAATTACGTGTTATATGTGCATATTGTCTGAATACTTGTTGTCTATGCTGGTGAAAGATTTTTATACATGTTTTAAATGATGTAAACTGTATAAAGTATTTTATATCTACAAAATATGTTGGGTAAAACATGGGTAAATGAATGATGATGGATAAAAGCTGAAATAGAGGAACATTAGTAGTACAGACCTAGTGCCCTATAGGTATACATTGGCAGTAGTGGACCTAGTACCCTATAGATGAGCACTGGCAGCTGCGCCACAACCCGTAGATGATTTAGATCTACGGTAAACATCCTAGCAGCTGCGCTCTAAGGATAGTATCGGCAGCTGCGCCTAATAGGGAGCCTTATGACCATGACAGTAGTGTTTAAAGGTCAATACCGGCAGAAGCGCCTCATAGAAAATGTCCTAATTCTGGCAGCTGAGCCTAAGTGACAATATTAGCAGCTGTGCTTGACCAATGTGTCATTGGCAACAATGGACTTCATGTTGTTTCCTTAGGATGATCCTTAGGAAGGAATGAATGAGAAATAGCTGATTCTTAGGGTAGATCCTTAAGAATAAAGAAGATAATGGGGATGGGTAATTGGGTTGATTGTTTGACTGTTTAAACATAATAATTATATTATTGTGGGTTGAAAACCCTATGTACTCACCAGGTTTCCCAACCTGACCCACTCAGTTTATTTATATCACAGGTGTTGATATGAAGTGACATTACACTAAGAGATTTAAAGAGATGTAGATCACTAGTGTAAATAATTGTAAGTTCCGTTTATGCTTATGTTTCTGTATTAACGATGACGTCCCAAGCGTTTTAAAATGAAATAAATACGTTTCTTCGAAAATGTTTTAATAACGTATTTACCATGTTTTTCTGGGAACAAATTCCGCAACATTTTTATAAAATGAAGTACTCTGATTTTTATAAAGCATAAACAAAATCGGTCTTTTCTGGCCGTGAAAATGGGGATGTCACAATTCATATATGAATCACATGTAATTCACATATGAATTATAGGTGATTCACATGGAAATCACATGTAATTTACATATGACTTACATGTGATTCACATTTAAATCACATATGAATTACATGTGATTCACATGTAATTCACATATGAATCACATGTGATTCCTATGTAATTCGCATATGAATCACATGTAATTCACATATGAATTACATATGATTCACATGTAAGTCTCATTTAATATACATATGAATTACATGTGATTCACATATGAATTACATGTGATTCACATATGAATTACATGTGATTCACATATGAATTACACGTGATTCACATGTAAATCACATGTGATTCATATGTGAATCACATGTGATTTACATGTAAATCACATATGTACTTTTGTGAGTGTTTTTGCATCATTTTTTTTTTAAATTTTCTTGTAGATTTGGAAGAAAATATGGTGAATATCAAAGAGGTGAAAAATGATAAATTGAAGAAAATATGGAAATACTAACATAAAGACATGAAAACGCTTTGAAATTTTGTAGCATATTTTTTGCTTTTTATATCTTATTTTGTATCAAATAAAATACTTATTCTATTGTGTTTATAGATTACTATATAAAATGAGTTTTCTTATGATTTATTTACAAATATTATAGTATATGAAATATGCATATATGCATTTGTAAAAATACGCACATATGTACCTAAAATGTTGATTTTTTTTGGTTAATAAATTATAGTATTTTTAAATATTCTAGTTTTATTATTATTATTATTGATTTTTAAATGCTTTTTAAAAGATTGCAGGTTTTTTAAATCATTTTGTTTTTCAAAAACTCACGTTTTCTATTAAAAAAAATTTTAAATCTACGTTTTTTTTTAATATTGAAAAATACTATTTTTTTTTTAAATCTGAAAAGTTGATTTATTATGTAATTTTTTAGACAATTCTATTAATATTTCCAATAATACAAAAAAATTAAACTTTAAATGATATTGTTAAGATTACGATCGTCTCTTTAATGAATTAGTTTTGATCTGACGCTTCATTTTTAATTCTCTAGTTCTTAGAAAACTATGAGTTCTCAACCGATCTCACCTATATATATATATATATATATATAATTTAGAGAGGATGCATCTTTTTCTAATGCAAACATTTTGTAACCAGTTGCTATTATTAGATTTTCAAAAACACTTAGGGTGCGTTTAGTTGCGGAAAAATAAGTATTTTCTTGAAAAAAATTTCAAGAAAAATGAGAAATTTTGAAAAAGCATTTAGTTCGTCTATTTTTCTTAATTTTCACGGAAAATGAAAATTTTCGGTTTTCGAAAATTACAAAGAAAATTGAAGTTTTGGAAAACCAATAGTTATTGTTTTTCACATTTTTCTAATTCCAAAATATTTCTAAAATATAAAGACACACTTAATCCCACCTCTACCTATCCCCACCTTAACACCCCCAACCCACTACACCCCTACCTACCCACACTCACCCACTCCACACCCACCCCCACAAACACATACATACCCTACCTACCAACCACACCCCTACACACATAACCACAAACACAGACCCACAAACACACAAGAACACACACACACACACCATAAACACAAACACACAGACACACACAAACACACAACACCACTACCACAATCACCGACCTACTATCACCGTCACAACAACCACTACCCCCATCACTAGCATCACCGCTGCCGCCGCCACCACTACGACCGTCGTCATCATCGACACCACCACTACCCCCCCCCCCCCCCCCAAACCTACTAAAAATGAAAACCAATAGAAATATACATATCTAAATGCGTTTTATAATTTTCTAAAACTGAAAATGAAAAATGAATAAGTTTTAACTAAACGTATTTTCTAAATTTTCCAATAAAAACTAAAAACGAAAAACAAAAATTAAAAAGAAAAAACAAAAAACGTAAAATAAAAATTATTGTTTCGTAACTAAACGCAATCTTACATTCCCAGTTTTTTTAGGTAGATGTGGACTTTAACGACAACAATTGATTGTTTGACCAAATTATATTATTGGGTAATATGGTCTTCTTTTATCATTTAGGTAAAATCTAGATATATTTATAATATAGAAAAGGCACTAGTTGCATGGTACTTGGATCCATCCATGTTGATTATATGATAGGCGCCGTCTCAACCCCTTTTATAAACTCTCAATTTGGCAGATTTTCATTTAAACCCCTCCAATTTGTGTAAAACCTTTAGCTAGTAGTTGTGAATGATTCAAAGTTATAGCATGTTCCGCTTCTATAATTGTGTTGATTGGGTAACATCTATTATATTGTTTAGGCAAGATGTAGATGGTAAGTTCGAAATGTGAGGTTATTTTCCTAAATCACACAAGTTTTGGTCGTTTTGATCAACAGCCTCATTCCTGGGGGGTTAGTTTCGTCAAAAATCCTTTTTTTTTTTTTTTTTTAAATTATAAATATCACAAAAATCAACTTGGAACACCCAATACTGTTTTGAGAATTATAATTATAAAAACGGTCGGGAGTTTGAAATAATGGAGATGTGACCTCTGGGAAGAAAAGTCTGCTCACACAGCAAACACTGATACATGTTCAGTGTACATACTATTGCACACATCGCCGCCGTGTAACAGAGCTCTGAGCATTATGGCATCTCGGCTGTGGTTGTGCTTGACGATCATCGCCACCGTAGCTCGAGCTCAAACCACCACCGATCCAGCTGAAGGTACTCTCTCTCCAATTATTTATGATCTCCGATTCTCCACAGATGCCATACGTTTCTGCTATGTGTGCTTGTGTGTATGAGAGAGAGAGAGAGAGAGAGAGAGAGAGAGATTAGTTCCCATTTCCCAAGATTTCAGTTAAAACGGTCTGTTTGGAAAATCAAGTTGTTTAATGGTTCTAACTTCTAATCTTTGAATTAGTGGCTAAAAGAATATAAGATTGCTTAACGTACAGTTCATAAAAAATTTCGATCGATGCTTAATTTTGATTCATTCAAGATCGTTTAGAGTTTGCATAAAATGCTATGAACGATGAACGGTTCGGAGCTAATGTTAAAACATATTTTTCTCCACTAAACTCTCGTAATAAGATATCTTCTATGCACATAAAATCCTAAACAAACTAATCGAAAACCATATTCATAAATGTGATTATCATGATCACAATTTTATTCATTTTAAGGTATTAGCGGTGAAATGAAATAAGAAATTCTATTTTTGACACCATTGTTTCTAGCTTTCGATTGTTCTGTTAAGTTATGTATAATAGAGTTTGTTTAAGGTTACATAAATTAAAAGCACATATTGGTTCTTTTGATTTATACGTAATATGAGGAATTCCGCAAGTAAAAATATATGATGATTAACTTGATTTTATAACTTTATTAGTTTTGTTTTTCTAAAATCAATGAAATAAAATCAAAATAATAGATTTTTTAGTTAAAACTACATCATTTGTTGAGATGTTATATATATATATATATATATATATATATATATATATATATATATATATATATATATATATATATATATATATATATATATATATATATATATAAAATGGCGGAGCCAACAGGGGTGCCGGATACTTTGTCCCCTCAACTTCTTTTAAACCTTCAGCCCATAAGTAACTTTTATCCGAAATCGTTTATATAATAATAGACACCAAAAATTACGCCATGATTTGACTTAAAAATAAGCCGCCTCTTCCCTTCTTTTTTTTTTTTTTTTTTTTTTTTTGCCTCCACCCTCTATTTTTTTTAGTTTAATCAACTTAATGCCCTCATTTATGTCAAACACCCACAATTCTTCATAAATAACTTTTGTTAATTGATGAGTCTCCAAGATAAATTCCATAGTTATTTTTATTTATTTTAACAATGTTTATTTTCACTAAAAAATTGTTTCCGGCTATATTGTTATATTCACACGATTTTAATTCTTTAATCAATAAAAAGTTAATTAATAAATATTAGTTAATATTTATAATTTATGAAAATTTTTAAAATTGATATTAATAGATGAATATGAATCAATACTCATGGTCTTTTGAAAACTTTATAATATTAATTTCTTATAGAGATTGATGTAGTGTGTACTACTAACGATTTTTTCTTTTAAAGTTTTAGACTCTACATCATTTAGGTATAACATTATATTATAACATGTTAAAATTACGATGCGAGGCTCTCAGCTCCTTTATTTTCAAATCTTGGCTCCGTCCATATGTGTGTGTGTATATATATATATATATATATATATATATATATATATATATAATATATATATATATAACAAATTTTTTGAAGTTTTAAGGGTGGGCATGGGCCTACCGTGACTTATAGGTGGCTAAACCCTTGCACACATACAATAGAAATACAGTTCATAAATCGTGAAGGTATAAAACATACCCTTAAAACTTGTTACATGGATGATAACACAATCCCAACTTTCAATAATAGTAAAAATCATTAATATGTGTTTACTTGTTGAGTGGGGGTGCAACTGCAATTTATGGCTTGTTTTCATGAAATTTGTAGAAAATTGCTGATATTTTACCTTGTAATAATTATTAAAAAGTTATATACCAATCAAGCTTCCTTTTTTCCCAAAAAAATGGATCTTAATATTTTTAAAAATAGAATCCGGAGGCTTTAATAGAATAAGTCCAAATAAGATAAAATAGAAAGATATTCCCTAAAACATAATATTATTGTGTCTTGTTACTTCATTATAATGGGACCGATGCCTTGTCTCAAAATGTGTAAGATTTTAACTTACTCTAATTTTAAATGACCACAAATACAATGTAAAAAAGTTAGTTAGAAAATACCCCAAAAATTTATTATATGGATTATATCACCATCTACCCTTACTAAGATAATAAAAATCATTAATGTGTGTTTATTTGTGGGGTGGGGGTGGAGACTTTATGGCTCCTTTCCATGTAAGTTATTGGAAAATGATGTTATTTTAAATTGTAATAGTTATATAAAAAATAATAGAATATAGGAAAATGATGTTATTTTAGATTGTAATAGTTATATAAATTATATTTCTATGAAGTCTTTTATATGTTATTTTAGATTGTAATAGTTTCATTTACATTATTAAGATATATCTATATTAACCACTTTTGTTTGAGAATATTAGACAGATTATTATGAGTATAGGGTTGAATGTATATATATATATATATATATATATATATATATATTAATATATATATATATATATATATATATATATATATATATATAGATCCGGTAAGAAATTTCTTTTGGTGGGAAGGTAAGAAGTTTTTTTTCTACATATTTTTTTGACGAACAAAATAAATAAATCACTAGATGATTCATTTGTAAGATGATTCACAAGAAAAAATTCCCAAAAAAACATCTTTATGATTCATTTTTAAGTAAATTAAGAAAAAATTCATTTTTATGATAATTTTAGTGAATAACAACAAAATCATTGTATAAATGAATCATCAAGATGTTTTTTGAGAATTTTTTCTTGTGAATCATCTTACAAATGAATCATCTAATGATTCATTTTGTTTGTTCGCGAAAAAAATATGTAGAAAAAAAACTTCTTACCTTCCTACCAAAAATTTATTCTTATTTGATCTTGACTATATATATATATATATATATATATATATATATATATATATATATAATATATATATATATATATATATATATATATATATATATATAT